GGAGTCGGTTCCGACTCATAGCAACCCTGTACAGGGTTTCTGAGGCTGTAAATCTTTATGGGAGCAGAACGCCTCATCTTTCTCCCGCTGAACAGCTGGTAGTTTCGAACTGCTGATCTTGCGGTTCGCAGCCCGATTAGTAACCACTACGCTACCAGAGCTCCTTATATATATACATACATATATCTATAAATAGTTGTTTTGTATCTATATTATTGTTTTTAAGGGCCAAGTCTGTTCTGACTCACAGCCACTCGGTATATAGTTTCCAAGGAGTGGCTGGTGGTTTGAACCGCCAACCTTGTGGCTAGCAGTTCAGTGTTATTCCTATAGCCAGGACTCCATGTATATGAGTCAAGCTGTAACACTTAGGTTATGTGATCTTAGCTGTACAAGGGGACTTCAAAAAGTCCATGGGGGAGAGAGAATAAAAGACAAGATGGGATTTTTCCATGGACTTTTTGAAACCTTCCTGTATGTTAGACCTCAATACAAAGGAAATAAATAAGTTGGCTAAGTTGAGCAACCCTGACCAAATACTTTGTCTTCAAGGTGTAGGTTGTTCACCAGCTGCCTCTCAGTATGGACGGCAACCTTTGTTGACTGTTTCCCCACGCTCCAAGCCATTTTCCAATCCACCCCCAAATCAAACCCATTGCTGTTGGATGAACTCATAGAGAACCTACAGAATAGAGACGTCTCAGAGGGTTTCCAAGGTTGTGAATCTTTTACGGAAGCACACTATCACCACATCTTCCTGGTGGGTTTGAACTGCTGGCCTTTCCATTTGCAGCCTAGCACTTAACCTCTTTACCACCGGGACTTCCTAAACTATAAATATCTATATTAATAGCTCATTTTATTCTCAGACAACCAATCTAGAGAACGCTGAGCTCTGCAGATCTGTAAATCTTCACTTCTGTGATGTTAATGAGGCCGGATGCAATCTATGGAATTAGGTGTGTCTGAGTCAGTCTCTTTGGAGATATAAAAAGAGAGAGAAGTGAAGAGAGAAAGGGACCTACCAGGACTAAGATAGAAGAGCAAGGAGTGGTGTGCATCCTTTGGACCTGGGTTCCCTGTGCTGTGAAGTTCCTAGATCCTCGGGGAAGATTGATGCTGGGACTCATGGAGATCTCCCTGGAATGTTGGACCCACAGTTGCTGAAAGGATACAAGGACCTTTCTCCAGAGCTGGTGCTCTGAATTCGGACTTCTCGCCTCCTAAACTGTGGGAGAATACATTTCTGGGTGTTAAAGCCCTCCACTTGTGGTATTTCTGTTAGAGCAACACTCGACAGATAGCTAAGACAGTCGTTGTAAATTGGAATGGATTTGACAGCAATAGGCATCCTTTCCCTGTAAGAAACCAGTATGAAGGGTATACCGGATCTCAGTGAGTTCTATGAGTCCTTCTAGTGAGCTGTTAAACCTGAGGGTGCTACTGGGGATCCCCAGACCTGTCAGAAGTGAGGGTGGTCTTGAGGGCTGTCCTGCCTAACTTTGCATCCTCAACCCTTGGGGAATCTTGGTGGTCTGTATGAGTGAGTGATGAATTCCTGAAACACTTTCCCTGACCGACCTGGGAAGCCCCACCTCACTCTTCCAGAGACCCAGGCTTCTATCCAGTACCCGGAGATTCTTCTTCCACCTGGGTCTTTTGCACTCGACAAAGTGTTTGCGTTCTAAAGAATGCCACCACCTTTTGGCAGAAGGTTCTGATCAGATTTGTCAGTGCACATAAGGCTTTTATTGGACTCATGTTGCTTAAAAGAAACAACAACAAAAAACCATGTTCTGAATGACTAACATGTTTGAATCAAGACATTTCATATGAAAATCTACATTTCTGAATTCTTAAAAGAAAAGAATACTTGGAGTTGGTGGCTCTGAGGGTCTGAGAGTCTGAGGGTCTGCTCCGGGGAGAAGGAGCTGAATTGGCTGCTGCTAGCTCCTCCCTTCAGGTGGGGCACCTGCTTTCAAGCTGGACATGGCCCCCTCCCCAGATCAGGTTCACTTGTCTTGTTGCCTGCTGTTGTGGGGTTTTGAGTTTACAACCTCTTTGTTAGAGCCTGGTAAGGTTAGGAAGCAATGACCAGCGCACAGGCAGCTGCTCCAAGAACCAAGAGTTCTGGGGTTTACAAGTCCTGAGCTAATCATAGGAAGTCTTGAGAAAACAGCCCGAGGTGCTGTGAGTCTTGGTGTCTCTGTTGGCTGCGTAGGGATGGGTGGCAGCGGTTCTTGCTCCCACAATGTCTCTGCAGAGAGATCCTTGGGGTTTCTTTAGTGTCTAAGCCTTCTGTGGATCTCAGTAAGATGTTATGGCTGAACTCGATCAGTGACGATCTGGCTACAGAGGGATCACTTCTCACCCTCGGTTCTCAGTGCTCCATGCAGCCTTGGAGATAGTACATCTTCCATCTTCCTCCCATACAGGATGTGACGTCTTACGTGGTGTCTTTGTTGCTGAGGCTGAACGTTTCTTGAGGGCAGGGATCAGACGTGTCTGACATGTTCTGTAGGTCTTCGCAGGTCTGACTGGGCTGGTGGATCTACACGTCATGGTCCACCTCTGACTTTCTGTGTCTACTGTCTTCTTTCTTGCTCAAGAGTCCTAGACTGTGCGACAATCAGATCTTGTCATTTCCACCTTGGGCAAGCCTCATCACCTCTCTGGTGTCTCAAACATAGAGGGGACCCAATTAGCTCCATTGGAGTCCTGGTGTGGCGCTGTAGGAAAAGTACTTACCTGCTACCCAAAAGGTCAGCATTTCAAACCCACCAGCCACTCTTGGAAAACCGATATAGGGTCGCTGTGAGTCGGAAGCGATTCAACAAGAGGAACAACAACAATGACACCTTTAGGTGTCCCTGGGTGGCACAAGCAGTTAAGCACTAACTAGCCCAAGGTTGGTGGTTTGAACCCACCTAGAGGCACCTTGAAAGTAAGGCCTGGAACGCTGCTTCTGAAAGGTCACAGCCTTGAAAAACATACAGGAGGATTCTGCTAGGCACGCACAGGGTCACCAGGAGTCACCATCAGCTCGATTTCTACTAACAACATCGACTGGCTCCTTCTGACCTCCCCTTCTAGGGTACTTCTGGGCCGGGGAGATTTCTACATGCTCATTATACTCTTTCAAGGAGCTCTGGTAGTGTAGTGGTTATGAATTGGGCTGCTAATCTCAAGGTCAGCAGTTCGAAACTACCAGTCGTTCTGCAGGAGAAAGATGAGGCTTTCTGCTCCCGTAAAGATTTATAGCCTCAGAAACCCTGTACAGGGTCACTATGGGTTGGAATTGACTCAACAACACTTAACAACAACAACAACATTATACTCTTTGGGAAAAAGGGCCAGTGATGAAAAAATTACTGAAGTTTAAGGTACAGGGGGTGATTAATGGAATGCAGTTCCCAAGGAGCCAGAACAAATGAATTCCCAAGCCAAGGAGGTAGATCTAATCTTGTGCAGGAAGAGAGATGCCTCTTTCTCTTAAAAAGGCAAGGAGGGAATCATCAATGCCAATGGCAATAACCTTGTAGGTGTGGAGTTGTTGCTCAGTTAAGTCCTGGTTCTCCATCCCAGCCATGCATCAGAGTATGCTGAGGAGCTTGTGACAAGCACAGTGCAGGTGGACTCTGGCTGTGGGGAGTTGGGTTCATACATCTGAGGGGCCTCAAGTAGCTTGGTTTTTAGTGAGCACCCTTGGTGGTACTGACACTGGAACTCAGCTGAGTGGTGGCTATGCTGGTGTAGAGCCCAGATGCAGTCAGCCTGGCTCAGGCGCTTACCTTGCTCCTGGGCAGGTGGGGTTTGAGCTTCGGGATTCCTGAGGGTCTCCGTCTTCTCCAGCAATGCTGGGTTCTTGAGGATCAAGCCTTCTTTGGTCTTTGCCATTTGTCTTCTCTCACACCATTTAAGGATCTTCATTCTAAAGCGATAAGGTCCTGTGATGAAGGTTGTATGCAGCAACTCCCAGTTTCCAGAAGAAACCCAGGGCTGGGAGTCAGACTACCAAGATCAATGTCACTGCTTACTTTTTATTCCTCAGCAACTACGCACTGATGGGCAGAAACATCCTGCAGCCATGAGACTTGGCACCGCTAACAATTACTCATCTCCAGTCACCATTGGGACTTTGCTGCTTCTCGCCAATTGTGTTCTTTGTCCTTGAATGGAACTTACTCATTTTCCTCAAGCCCCTTGCCCTTCACCCCTCTGTGATACTCTGTGATGCTTTGCTGTGAAAAGAGGCCGCTGGGTGGGAGGACCTCATCTTTTTGTCCTGGAAACCATTCACCACAATAATAAATGCACCTAAAGATGAAGCATGGGACAACCCCCCTTGGATTTTGGGAAATAAGGATAACTGAGTGCTTTCAAAGTATCCTTTCACTGGTACGGTGCTGGAGAACAGATGGCAATGGGTTGAAAAGTTTAAAGGTGATGAGACTCAGGAAGTGAGTGTAAACTCTTCTCTCAAAAAATATTAAATGGCATTGTGAGGGAGTTTTTGTAGGGCTGAGACAGAGGACATTTGTGCACTTTCGTATCCTTGAGAAAAAGATTCAGTACAGAAAGAATGATTGGGAATTTAGGAGATAGAGGGGATGACTAATGGAGTACAGTTCCTAATGGAAGTGTAGGAGATGCATTCCCAAGCAAAGGAAATGTATCTAACCGTAGACGGGGAGAAGTGTGCTTCTTTCACTGTAAAAAGCAAAGGGAAAAATCATCGATGCCAAGAATAACTTTGCAGGTGTTGGGAGTCATTTTTGTTTTCCTCTTTGAAACTTTATTGCTGAAAGCCAGAAGGGAGGAGAAAAAAGACACTGGGGAAAATAGAAAAGAAAAAAAAATGTTGGTACTACTGCCTAATGTACTATGCCAGAGAGGAAGACATAGGAATTGATGGGCAGAACTGACAAGGTGGAGAGTTCAAGCCCACCAACCGCTCCTCAGAAATCCTATACAGGGTCACGATGAATCAGAACTGACTTGACGGTACATTAACAACACTGACAGGTCACCCCAAGGAGGACATTCTGAAGGGGCAGCTTCCCTTAAGCATCTCTCTAGTACAGACCTCTAACTTAGCACTTGTTTTCTTGTCTAATCTGTAAGGAAAATACAGGTGAGAGGGCAAGAGAAAAGGAAAAGAAAGTAATAGAATCTGGAAAATATTAAATGTTGTTGTTGTTAAATGCTGTTGAGTTGATTCTGAGTCATAGAAACTCTATATAGGATTTCCAAGGAGTGGCTGGTGAGTTTGAACCACCAACCTGTGGTTCAAACTGACCTTGGGTTCCAGTGTTTCATTTCACAGCACCATACCAAGGCTCCAATAAGATCACTATTTATTGTTGTTGTTAAGTGCTGTGTTGAGTCGATTCCAACCCATAGCGACCCTGTATAGGATTTCCAAGGAGCAGCTGGTAAGCTTGAACCACCGACCTTGCAGTTCAAATGACTTTGCAGTCTGACGCATTAGCCCACAGTGCCACACCAGGGCTCCAAGAGCTCTATAATGAATGGGAAAACCTAAAGCAACCTATGAGGAAATTATGGTTGATAATTTTCTACAACTAATAAGAGATACAAGACACATACTAAAATGGCCAAATAAAAATAGCAAATAAAAAAATCAACCCACACATAATTGCATCAGAGTGAGACTCTCAGTGTTAATGCTACCTACAATTCCTGAAGGCTCTGGGAACCCCATACCCAACCCATATGACAGGCCAGGGAAGGGGCACATGGTACCAGTGTTGTGAGCTGAGTCCCAAATGATGAGTCAACACCCGCTGGAGTGATGGAGGGGGCAGGGGTGGGAGTTAGAGTGTGGAGAAGGAAGGCACGCAGGCAGAAGACAGGCAGAAGACGTAGTGTCAACAAGGGGCAGAACAAGAAACAGCGATCTGTCAAGAAAGCATGGGCAGCTTGGTGTTACATAAGTTCAAAGTGTGAGGCGGAAGCAGAGGAGTTGAAATTAGTGAGATAGAACCATAGAATTGACAGAGACAACATCTTAGAAGAAGAATCAGGAAAAGAGAGCTGCTTTTCAAAGGGGCAGCAGGTCAGGTTTACAGCAGACTCTTCTTCATTGACAATGGAAGTAAGAAAGAGTGGAATGATATGTTTAAGAAAGGGCATAACTGTCAACACAGTATTCCAAACCTGGCAAAAATATCTTCCCATAATGAAGAAAAGAGAAAGATGCAAACAAAAAACCAGCTAACAGGAAACCAGCTCTACGGGTTTTCTATAATGTAGCTCAGAACAGAAATGATTATGAATGGAAGGTCTGAGATGTAAGAAGGAATAAATAGCAAACGTATATGATAAAAAAGGCACGGAAATAAAAATGAAATAAGAGGATCATTAGAAAACACTGACATGTCCAAATAAACCACAAGTCAAAAAATTATAATGGGGATTAGAAATATTTTATCTGAATGATAATAAGATACTTCATATTACAATTTGTGGCTTGCAGCTAAAGTCATCCTTATAGGGAAAATTATAGCCTTAAGTGAAAATGTCCTTGTGTAGTGCTGTAGGTAAAGCACTGGACTGCTAATCACAAGGCTGATGGTTCAAACCCACCAGCTGCTCCTTAGAAACCCTATACAGGGTCGCTGTGAGTTGGGATTGACTTGACAGCACTTACCAACAAGAAGTGAAAACGTTGGAAAAGGAGAATGATTGAAAAGTAATGATCTAAGAATCTGTATCAAGAAAGGGGACAAGACAAAACAAAACAGAAAGACAAAACAGGAAGAAAATATAAGGAAGGGAGGGAATGTAGTAGGTTTCGAGACTGGCTTGCTGGTGAGTTTTAACTTTGGTACTCACAGGAGGAGGACGAGGAAGAGAAAGAAGAGTGCTGATGTAAGGCTCCCATACACAACGCCCTGGATCAGGCCATCCATGGACTTATTGGAAACTGGTATTTCATCTGAAACCAGAGTAAAGTGAGAGTAGGTTTTTTTTTTGTTGTTGTTGTTAACCCCCTAAAGCTTTGGTAGCGTAGTGGTTACGACTCAGGCTGCTAATCTCACGGTCAGCAGTTCGAAACTATCAGCTGTTCTGCAGGAGAAAGATGAGGCTTTCTGCTCCCATAAAGATTTACAGCCTCGGAAACCCTGTACAGGGTCGCTATGGGTCGGAACCGACTCCACGGCACATAACAACAACAACAACAACAACAAAACTTTGAAGTCTGAACAGTTCTGCTCTTCAGGCCCTGTGCACAGTCTACTTCAGAGTTTTGGGCATTCATTGTTTTTCTGTCCCAGTCACTGGGTCCTCTGCTTACTCACTTGGCATCAACAAGATGCTTGATGTGTGGATTCCATACGGATTCCTCCCCTCACAGCGAAGGTTCACGAGTACTTCTGGATCTCCAATTAGTCGTATGGTGCTGTTGACCCAGGGGAAAAATGTGGTGGAAGTCACATGGAAGATGTTATACATGCTGTTCACATCCACAAGAACATCTCCCATCCACCAATACACGGAGGGTATGGGAATGGCATGGAAGGCACATCTGCATTGCAGCGTCTTCTTCAAGGAACAAGAGAAGCTCAGCAGTCTGGGAGGTGCTGTGGGGATGGAAGGTCAGAAGTCAGCAAGGCACCCTGACTTCCGTTCTTCACCTCCACCAGGACCCAACCTTCCACTTATGAGTCACGAGGAGCTTCTGAAGGACTTTCCTGAAGCCCAGAGATGCTGGACCCTTTATTCTCTCTTCTCACATGCCCTATACTTGGGCTTAGGTCTTAACCTCTGTCTTTCAGCCTCAAAGGCCATGAGAAGCTGTGATTTCTCTCCTGACGTCTTCCCTGTAAGACTCGGGTCTTTATTAGTCCTAAAACTTCTCTAAGATTCTAGATCCTTGTCCTGCCCACCATTACTCACAAACCACTGTGAAGCTGACTGTATTACTTCTGGTCATGTTAGCTCGGGAGACGTTCAAGGGACATCTGAGAGTGGCGCCATGGTCTTCAGGCTTTGGGGTGAAGTGTAACATTGAGGAGAAGTCGCTGCTGGAGATGCCCATGTTGGAGGATACGGTGGGTCCTTTCCAGGTGAGGTAGAGGGCTTTGCTTTCTTTGCAGGTGTCTTTGATGGAACAGGTCAGGGTTACAGGTTCCCCAACTATAATAATCTCTGGTATGTGGAGCTCTGGTTTCTGGGTCAGGTCTGGAGAAGAGAGAGTGAGTGGACCCAAAACTTGATGACTACACATTGTTTACAGGTTACAAAATGTTTTCCCACCCATTACCTTGTTTAGCAGCACCAACAACCTTAAAAAATATGGGATAATTATTGTTGGGTAGCTTTTCACAAGTAGATTTCCTTTCTTTGTGTGGAACGTTCAAGAGTGAGGGGCTGCTTTCTGAGGATTTACATTGTCCTGTTCCCCTCCATCCACCAGGCTAGAATTCCCAGCTGTTCCTCCCCTCTCCCCACCATTCTGGCTTTCCCTTTAGTCTCTGCTCCTCCTCAGCCCCATCTGTGATCTGTTTTCTCCCCCATAGTTTTACTGTTTGGATGCTAGTGGGCCAAAAGTCACTACCTCTCTCTTTGCTGTTTCTAACGGGGGAAAAAAAAGCTGTCAATTGGACCTTTATTGTGGCATTGCTGTTGCAAAAATTATGTGACCTGAGGTTTTATAAAGCTCGGTTCTCAGCAAAGTAAAAGCCACACAATTACTGAACCACTTAGTGCATGAGATTGGATGTCACCTGATACAGAGAGTTCAATATTCTCTTTTAGGAAAGTACTTCTTTGTTCTTCTAGATCTGCATAAAATAAGTATGTCATGCTATCGCTTTGGGGTATATCATGGATCAGCAGGGTACAGTCTTGCTCTTCAAGATTCCCAATAACAAGGAATCTGTCCTTGGTGTCATCCTCGATGGTCACATTGGGCTTATTTGTAGCTACAAAGGAGCTGATGTTTTTATTGAGCCAGTAGCCTATAATCCTGGGGTCACTCAGGGAGCCTTCGGGAAATTCAGACTTGCAAGGGATGGTAATGCACAGCCCTTTTTCCACTGGTATCTTTCGGACCTCCAGTGAAACTTGAGAAAGTGAACCTGTGAAGAAAGATTCAAGTTGAAAAGTAGCCCTACCTAGTGTTCCATGGCATCTTTCCTTGCTAGGAAAGGAATTAACCTTAGAATGTCCTGCCTGATAAGAATGCATTTGTTTTCCTGAGGTCTTGGGTCACACCAGATAGTCTATGCTAACAGTGGGTTTATGGTCATGGTCTTGAGCCATGTGGCATCAGCTTGACCTCTAAGAAGAGCTAGAGACTTGGGCCAGCCAAGTGGGTGGCAGCCATGTTTGCATGACCAACTCTCTCTTGAACCCCTGGGTACCAAGGCTCAGGGGAGCATCCCTGGTTTACAATACACTGTGTGTGTTGTTACACATCAATGCTGGGAGAAGCAGGCACTGTTTGTGGCTCTGCTAGTGTCTCTTGGACTATACACCTTTGTTCACTGATGATTTTAATCTGTATCCTTTCACTGTAAGAAACTGTGACTGCAAATATAATGGCTTTTCTGGGTTCTGTTACTCTCGCTAATGAATCAACCTGAGGCTGATTTTGGGGACTCCCAGAAAGCACCTCCCCAACCTGGTCTGCTAGGCTTCTTATTGTTCTGGCTGTTGGTATTAATGGTATCTTGTGACCCTGGCCATGTCTTCTCTGAACCTCAGTTTCTTAATCACAAAAATGGGTATAAGCATACTTACAGGCTGCAATGCTGTGGAGTTAAGGATAATGGCTATAGAGGCAAGAACCCCTGTGATGATTGCAGATAGTAATCTAGCTCTTGGTTTTTAGACTATTCTCTCCCCTTTCCTTCTCCATTTCTTCAGCAACAGCTCTCTCATTTAAAACATTGATGGATCGGTAAACTACATGGCTTCTGAGTCCACTCCCAGGAATGATGGTAGTAATAACAACTTGTGTGAACTATCACAGATTTTCCCAGACCTCCATTTAAGCCATTCGTGTAATGGTTTTATTATGACCCTTCCAGACATATGGGTAAGCTGAGGCTCAGGGACACTCGGGGTACTACCATAGGCCCTCTGGTGGTACAATGGTTAAGCACTTGGCTGCTAACAGAAAGATTAGCGGTTTGAGCCCACTCAATGACTCTGTGAGAGTAACACCTGGAGATCTGCTTCCACAAGGATTACAGTCTAGAAAACACCATGTCACATGGGGTCTCTATGACTTGGAAACGATGGCACTCAACAACAACTACGGCCACCCTAGGTCACAGATAAAGGTGTAATGGCAATAAGATATAACTGCTGGGCATTTCACTGGACATTTTTTCCAGTGATTTTGTTCATGTTGCTTAGTTCATTTCATCTATCAAATAGGGATGATGGTCTCTCACTGAGTTGTTGGGTGGATGAAATGGGGCACAAGATGAGTCACAATATCAGAATATTTGTACAGGGTTTCCTAGAGCAGCTGGTGGGTTTGAACCTCTGATCTTCTGGTTCGCATTCCCATGCTGATCCTACTGCAGGAGCCTACACACAGAAGGTATCTGTTATTTATTATTTATGCAGTACCTCAGCTCTTCACCTTAACTCAGTCCACGTTTGCCCCTGCCCACCTCTGTCCCCTCCTTGGCTTCCTCAGGACCCTTCCATGCTGCCTCTCATTCCACTTACCCAACCACAATAGGGGCAATGCCATCAGCAGCAGCTGGATCTCAGGGACAGGAGAGGACCGGGGCCTAAATGTAGCCTCAGATTTGTCTGACCTGGAGAACAGGGCGTGGAGTGGATGAAGAGAGATGGAAGCAGTAAGAGGAATGGCGTAATTGTAGAAATAAGTTCACTGCTTTCTACAGGCTCCTGTCTCTTTAGTCACCCGTGTGAGGTCTGTTAACCTCATGAATGAGGATTAGATGCTGCAAAGCCTCAAGGGCAGAGCAGCACCTCCGTGACTCTAGTGAAGCCCCCATAACACATACGCCTTTCCCCTTCTCTCCGCCCCCTCCCTTTGTGAAAGACCGTCAGATGTTAGGCTGAGGAGTTTGGACTTTCTCCCAAGTCAATGGGGAGCCACGAGAGAGTATTGAAACATGGTAAGCGGGGTCAGGTTTGCATGCCAGAAGGGTCTCTTTGGGTCTGCATTGAGGAGAGGACAATGGTCCAGGGGAGTCAAGAGGAGGTCTGAGGTACGGTGGTCATGGGGAATGGACGTACAGAGAAGAGAAAATGCCACTTAAGAGATATTAGAGAAATAAAAGGCATTTCTGTGGTTTGCAGGATAAACTCCAATCTCCTTTGCCTTAGGTTCTCTCCACGATTTTTTTTTCCTCTCCATGATTTTTGCCCCACATGCTGAATTTCCACTCTCTCTGCACGTGTGTCCATTCTTCCCTCGCCAAAGAGAACGAGTGTGCCCCGGACATTCCTACCTCCGAAAGTTTCCTCAAGTCACTCCTGCGTTTTGGTGCCCTTCTAGCTCATAAAAATGACAGGGTCGCTATGTGTCTGAACTGGTAGGTGGACCTTAACAACAACATAGGAGCCTTTGAAAAGCACACTTATTTTACTATTCAATGATTTAGTGATACAAGAGGCATCCAACTGTAACAACCAGAAATGAAACAAGTCTGGCCAGGAAGCCAAGTCGAAAAAATGATGGTGGTGTGCTGTGAAGGAACCTGCACAGGGTTTCCGAGGCTGTCAATTTTTATGGGAGCAGAAAGTCTCATCTTTCTCCCATGGAGCTGCTGATAGTTTTAAACTGCTGACCATGAGGTTAGCAGCCTGACTTGTAACCACCATGCTACCAGAGCTTCTTAGAAGAAAAAATAATGCTGTAAAATTATCAGCAAATAAAAACCTATTCTGTCCTTCCCATCTTCCCCCCGCCCCAGCACAATTGAGCTCTAGTGAACATTCAGAGCCCTTTTTTTTTTTTTTTTTTTAGTTTAAAGAAGCAAGTTTTCATTTCAGAAAGAGTTGAGGAACGAAAATGCCACTCCCCACCCCACCCCCATGCTGAAAATCAAGATCCTGTTCTGTGTTATAAAATGGTTCAAGAATCTGATTTTACATTGTGCAAAACGGAGAAATGTTGATAAGATGATAACTTATGTTCCCCTCTGCAGCGCATGGCTTTATGTGAATATTCATGACGGTTACTGACTTGTTCGGTTTCCTGTTAATACAAATCTATCTTTGGAAGAACAATTTAAGCAAAGTGGTCTTCTGAGACTCCAAAGACATGATAAATTGTTCCATGTCTTATGAAAATAGTCTCCAATGGTAATTCTGATACGGTGTCACCTGATCATTTCTGGCTTGGGTTAAGTGTCATTTCTTACCTCCTGTATTGCTCCTCGATCCTATGCTATTCCTCAGAAACCCCATACAGGGTTGCTATGAGTCAGAACCGACTTGACGGCACTGAACAACAACAACAACAACAACAACAACAACAACAACAACATACAGATCTGCAGGACTGCTTTGCTTTTCTCATTTTTCCACATGTGCAAACAACCAAAAGTTCTTTTTTTTTGACTCCACTCGATTCATTATTAAACACATATGTTGAGAGATGGTGACTATCTGCTGAAGATATTTTGGAAGTTTTGCTCTTCTGATACAGCACTACAGCTGTCTCCTTGCTACGTCTTTTCCAGTCAACCTCCCTGGAATAGGAGTCTGATACTGTTGGAAAACAATATTGAGCACAAGAGGGGACTTTCAAAAAGTTCATGGAAAAGGGAATGAAAAGATGATGAAAACTTTCCGTGAACTTTCTGAAGCCCCTCGTGTTATGGACTGCCAGGAGAATGTCTTGGAGGAAGTCTAGCCAGAATGCTCCTTAGAAGCTAAGATAGGAGACTTTGGCTCATTTACCTTGGACTTGTTATGAGGAGGGACCAATCCCTAGAGAAGGATATCATTCTTGGTAAAGCAGAGGGACAGCAAAAAAGAGGAAGACCCTCAATGGATTGACACAGTGGCTGTAGTAATGGGTTCCAGCTTACCTGCTATTGTGAAGACGGTACTGGATGGGACAATGTTTCATTCTGTTACACATAACAGTGCTCTGAGTTGGAGCCGACTTGATGATACCCTAAAAGCAACAACACTGGAATTGGAACAGTATCTGGCAACCATGAGACAACCATGAGGATGGAACAATTAGCAGTATAGGAACCCAGTTCCCTGATGATTTTGTGGCATTACTACACAAGCCCTGCACTGCCTACTCCCAACTTCATTTGGTTAAGTTACTCTAGGTGGGAAATTGATGAGATATCTTACTAGGGGATCTACCCAAGACTGAGATCCTTGAGGTAAGGCAGGCCCCATATCAAATTGACATCAGTGTCCTCCATGATTGTTGTTGGTTTTTTAAGTGCCATCTAGTTGACACCAACTCATCGTGACCTTATTTATGCACAGCAGAACGAAATACTGCCCGATCCTGGGCCAACGTCACTATTGTTGCCACGCTTGAGCCCATTGATGCTGCCACTTGGCTAAATATTCGGTGAAATTACAAATGAACAAGTACAAGTGTTTCCTTATCAGAAACTATTTTTCCCTGTTTATGAAGAGCATTTGACCAGGACTGGGGTATTTGAGTTTGAATCCCAGCTGTTCATTGAATTTGATACTGTTTTCTGGATGAACCAGGGGACATTCCCAACCATGTTATATCTTTTTTTTTTTTTTTAAACTTTTTATTGTGAATTGAATTAAGGTGTACAGAGCAGGTCATTGGTGTAAACTCAGCAAATCACATATTTCTCTCATTACAATGATGGCAACTCCCTCCATGTGCCATCAGTTAACAGCAGTGGTGGCAGTGGTGGTGGTGATATGCCATGGAGTCGGTTCCAACTCACAGCGACCCTGCATAGGATTTCCAAGGCTGTAAATCTTTATGGGAGCAGAAAGCCTCATCTTTCTCTCGCGTGCAGAATGGCTGTTAGTTTCGAACTGCTGACTGTGAGATTAGCAGCCAGACTCGTTACCATTATGCTATCAGATCTTCTTATTTACCTCTATTCACTTTAACTCTTGCACTCCTCCTTGTGGCTCTCACTACCTTCATCTTGCCTCTTCCAACCTCCCTCCTGTTGTATATTGCCTGCCCCATCACCTATGTTAACATGTGCCTAACTTCTAGCCCGTGAATAATTCCCTTTCCCAACCCCTAATAGGAGTCCTGGTGTGGTACTGTGGGTTAATGCACAGGACTGCAAAGTCAGTTTGAACTGAAAGGTCAGAAGTTCAAGCTCACCAGCTGCTCCTTGGAAACCCTATGCAGGGTCACTG